CATTTATTTATAATAGAGCATTTATTTATAATAGAGCACAGATCACAGGTCTCTGCCACTCTACTCCCTACTCCCTGAAGACAGACACCACATAGGAATGGTGGTGAATCCCTGAAATTAAGAGTGGTGGTACACCCAAAGGGCACCAGTGGATTTCATGTGAGCATTCACAATTACAAGTATTCCTTAGCCTAGAGAGCCCTATTTTCTCCTTTTATGATTAACTAGCTTGATAATGAATTCTTCCTTGAGCGGCATTTACCCAGTTTGTAAGCATGGTGTCCAGTACAATGGTTACTCTCTCTTGTTCTGTCCTAACCAGTTGTTCTCTCACTGATGAGCTCTTTGTAGTCTAAGTTAAATAACTCCTATCTTTAGGTTTGGGGTTCTCTATTTCCTCTGCTTGATGCTTTTCTCAGACAAAGGGGAAGCTCAAAGTTCTGAAGAAGAAAGGCAAGTGGAAACATGACAACGAAGAAAAATACTAAAGTAGGAGCCAGAAACCCTGGATTCTTTCTGGGCTCTGCTTTGACATTGACTCAGTTACATTATATCCAGGATGCATTTACATCACTGAAGGGGAAACGGCGCTATGCTTTTAAAAACAACCACAAAACCGTAAAGTTATTATCACAAAAATCAGACTTACAAACCGGCCACCCTTGCACCCTACCTGCCCTGTTGCATTTGGCCAATAAATATACTAATTTTTTAATCACCAGATTTCAAGTAAAAATGTAGATTTACAGAGCCCTTTGAAAATTCGTCAAATCTTCTGAAATAAGCCTATGTTTGTGCTTGTCAAGAATTGCTGGTTGTCCACAGAGCTTGGGCTCTCCAATTCCCTGTATCTGCGCCATTCACAATGATTCATAGACACTTAACTCACTTGCTGCCTTTAGGTTCCCTACCTAGAAGGTGAATTAAAGCATTTCAGTTTACTACCCCTTATCTAGAAGAGGCAAAGGCAGGTTAACAAGTGATTCCGAGGTAACAAAGAGCACAGAGATGCCATAAACACACGTCAGATGTCAAAGGCTTAAACCTGTAGGCACATTTACAAACAGATCACAGCTTCCCATTAGTTAAGCAGGCTCCCCCTTAACTGCTGGCTATGGGATAGATAAATAAATGGCAAGAATACTTGTGATATGTAGATTGCACATTAGGCTTTAAAATCTGTGCCTAACTGAATGCGTTAGCCCATGTTTTCTGTTTATGTCTCCTCAATGCCATGGAAACACAGGGTGACATCCTAATGCACCTCTCCTGGCAATAAATAAAGTCTTTGTCTATTCATGTTTCAATTTCTTTTGTTAATGTAATTTACAATTCAAAAAAGAAAACAGATCGGTGGTGTTTTGCTGCTTTTCTTCTCCTTGCTGCTTCCAGTTTCCTGTCTTACAATGTACATCTGCAAGAAATGCAAAACGCACCTTCTAGTGGTTATGGAAATCCTAACCAGCATTGTCAGCACTCAGAGAGCAGGATTCTCCCAACTGCACTCATCTTTCTCGTTTATAAAATGCCATGATAATTAAACTCTATAACGAGGTTCTCTAAGCATTTCAGTCTAACCCAAAGAGCACTTAATATAGTTGTTTAAGGTTGAAAGCTGATATAAAACAGACATTAAAATCTGGTGGGTTTCAATCCTCTCCTCTGTCTAAAAGGCAATATCCAGTCCATTTCTGTAGAGATAGCAACTGTATAGTCCTTAAATGGCTCCACGATGGCAGTGACATGTTCTCGCCTCCCTGTCTCCACAGCGTTTGAGGCAGACAAGTCACTTGCCGGCACCGCCATCACCCTAAAGTGCAGGGGCAAGGTGAAACCCGAAGCTCAAAGTGCTGGGAGCACAGTGTCGCCCACAGCCACTCCCTGCTGTCTGGCACCTGCTGTTCCCTGCCAGGCGGTAACCCAAGAATTCGAAAGGCAGATTAGTATCTGCATGAAGAAGTAGGAAGATTTGATTAAGTGGCTCAAATCTGTAGAGTCCCCTGAACCCAAGTGCAGGGATCCACCCGAGTCGCAGGAGGAAGGAGAAGTGGGCAGGCCAGGTGCTGCTTCTCTGGCAATCATCAGGGTGAGCTCCTGTAGGGACCTTTGCTGCTGACTGGGGAGCCTTGCATCACAAAGCCTGGCAATACCAACAGCAGGATTCACTGCCTTGGGTCTCACAGGGGGCATCCCAACCACAGACGGCCTGCGGTAAACCTCGAGGCCAGGGGCAATGTCTGTTTTCATGAGTCATGAAAAGCAGTCGGTGGACCAGATTTCAAAACACCCACAAAATAGATCTGTCATAGCATCTGCCCAAGGAGAGGCATTTTTTATCTAGAGCTTTCAAGTGCTGGAGCTTTACTTAGAAACTAAGTGTCCAGAGAAATGCCTTCCTAGATAATAATCAAATGTTATGGCCTTTGATTTCCTAAAGTGGGATATAATAACCTGTCCATCTGAATTATGTTTTCACATCTTTGGCAAAATAATAACAACAGTATTACCATATAACATTATTAGGTACTTATCTTGTGCTTCTGAGATAGTTATCATTACTCCCTTGTCACAGATGAAGCAAAGTTTAAAGAGGTAAATAACATGTCCAAGGTCACAACACTAATAAATAGCTGAGCTGGGCTGAAAACCAGGTCATCTGACTGCGAAGCCTGTATTTCTTCCTCCCACATTTTCTGGGTACCTACTATGACCTCTGCACAGTGCTGGGATGTTTATTCCATATAGTATCACCTTTTTATTTATTTATTTTTTTAGAGACAAGATCTGGCTCTGTTGTCCATGCTGGAGTACCGTGGTGCAACCATAGCTCACAGCAACCTCGAACTCCTGGGTTGAAGCAATCCTCCCGCCTCAGCCTCCCCAGCAGCTGGGATTAGAGGTGCTTGCCACCCCACCCAGCTAATTTACTTTTCTTACTTTTTGTAGAGTACTTTTGCAAACAGGGTTCTCACTTTGGGTATCAACTTTAATTTCTGCAATTCACTTCACCCCAAATTGAAACTCCAGTAAAATTGTTTTCTTCTATCTTAGGTGCCGGGTGGAAGAACCAAACAGTGACCAGTTTTATTCTTATTAGTACTTCTTCCATTTGAGGACAGGTATTTGTTGTCATTTTGTACTTTTTGTTCATAATGTCTCCATCCTCTTTTTTCCTCGGATATTCTCTCTTATGTCCTGTGATTTTGCTTTGCATCATGTTTATCTTAAAAGCTATTCGAAATTTTTTATAAATAGTCAAAGTATAAATACAGAGATTCCTGCTTTATTGCCATAAATGGGTTCTGGAAAAATCTCACATTCAACATGATTACGCCCTAAAAATAATGGAATGTATGGGGGAAATAAAGCAGGGCAGATGAACTCAAAACCTACAGAGCACTGTAACAAGTACACATCCCAAACAACAGCAACATTTAAATTATAGCCAGTTAACCCTCCACAGACATGTGAACTTAGAATATCATTCATTCTTTGCATACTTCTATTCTGGGCTCTGTTTTCTCATGATGGCCCTTAATATCACTCTCCTGTAATAGAGACCGATTTCATAAAAATCCAAAATATGATCCAGGGCAATTATCTTCATCAATCATTTTTATTACAGGGTGAGGGTTGGTGACATGGGTGGCATTGCTTTCTCAGCTTTTTCATCTGTACCCAGAGAGCAAAGTGCAGTGGTTCTGAATGACATCAAACCAGGAAGGGTGTCTATATTTGGAGTTTCTCACCTTTTTACATGTTCCTAAGCTTTCCTTTTTATTGTGGAAAAAAAAAAAAAAAAAAAAAACAACTTGCTCCTAACTTTAAAATATTAACATTCTAACAAACATCCTATATGAACTTCCTAGAATTTCAAGGTATTCTGATATCAGGGACAGATGCAGGTTTCATGGGACTTGAGAGTTCTACCACCTTCGAAATCCTTCTTTAAGAACATAAAATTACAAAGATCAAATTTAGTTTAACAGTGACTATTCATTTAGAATTTAGAATAGTGGGGAAATTACAAACATTCACAACTTTTAAAATGCTGATAATTGTAAAAAACCTCACAAGATCCAGAAAAAACAAAAATACATGATTTTTTCCCCCTATTAATAGTTTTCCCCTATTAATAAATAGAAAAATTTCTTTCAACTGCATCATTTGTTATTGTAATATCATGTGCATGTTTAGAATTATTGGGGAAAATATTTATCAAGTTTTTCTCATATGCAAACTGTAAGATTGAAAGATGGTTGGGCCCATCAAGTTTCCCTGTGCAGTGACTGGTCTTAAATGTACTTGGGATTTTCAACACTCATTAACAAGTTAATAGACGTCGTCGCTTTAGTGGCCCATTATGAGTGTGTACATATGGTTCTCTGTTTTCATTAAGTGAATTGTCAAACAATCCAAGAGTCAACTCATTAATTGTATCAAAAATGTATCTCTTGCTCTCAGTGATTCCCTGCTGTTGGTATGTTCTGAATGTGATTTACCAGCTCCCAGTCCTTGCTGGTTGCTCATTACAAAAGGACCAACTCCCAAGTTTTAGTTATTGCATACTTTGCAGAGAAGTTTGACAGGGTGGACCAGGAATGGGGTGTTTAATCCATGGAAGTGAATGTACCCAATTTTAGTAAATTTTACAAAAACACATCATCATGTGAATATGTTTTATTAGCTTTAGGGTAAATCTGCCTCTGCTGACACCATTTCTCTATTTCATTCTCATTAGAACTAACTTGCATTAAAGAAACCCAAGGTGTGAAAGAACAGACCACATGAAATAAATGAATTAACAAAAATAATTAATAAAAGGCATTTTGCTACAGTTGTGCCCTAATACTGAAATTATAGATTCAAAAATAAATATTGTCAACACCAATTGCTATATTAACTCATTAACAAGAATAAAAATATATTAATAATTTTGATTAAGCAAGCTGATACTAGTTTGACAATGTTTTTAAAAAATTGCATTAGCACTTTCACTAAATCACCAAAACTTAAACTTATGTTGTTTAAGACTACCTGTTGGTAACACAGTCAGATGCATTTTGGGAAAACTCTCTTGATCTTGCCTTGCCTGACTTTGCTGCTTTATTCATATTTTGGAATTAATAACCTATGGAAACTTGTTAAAATGTTGAAACAATTTAAGGAAGAGGCTAAAAAACAATTTATGAAGAGGCTAAAAAGTCAAGAAAGTTCTTGTATTTAAGCATTAGCTATTTTTACCAGAGGAGACTCACCAGTATAGTGCTCTAAGGAAAATAAACTTATAAACAGCAAGCTGTAAATGGGATGGTTGCCCAAAACATTGTGCAGAATGAGATTCCATTTTGAAAGGAAAGCTCTACTATGAGATTATGAGGTCCAGGATGGCCACACGAATTCAGGAGGACTTTGGGTATCTCTGGACAAGATGGAAATAGAATCTGCTTATTCAACATGTTAAGAGAATCACTAAACGTAAACAGCTGTTCTACTTCTGTTTTCTCAGCAATCTTTTATTATACCTTGTATGTTTCTGCCTATAATAAAATAAGCACAACAAAAGCAATGAAACCTGGCAATACAAGATTTTTATAGTTTAAATTTGCTTCTTAAAGCATGCTCCTAAACCAGCAAAATAGGCAACACCTGGGAGCGTGAGAAATGCAAAGTTTCAGGCCCCACCTCAAACCTGCCAGATCATATGCAAAGGTACACAGGTGATTAAGATACTCATTACAGCTGGGAAGGCACTGGGCTTTCATTTTCAATATTAATGAACAATATAACTTCCAAGTCAACTAAATGATCATTTCAATTTTTTTTTTTTTTTCAGACAGAGTCTCGCTCTGCCATCCAGACTGGAGTACAATGGCATGATCTTGGCTCACTGCAGCCTTCTCCTCCCAGGTTCAAGTGATTCTCCTATCTCAGCCTCCCAAGTAGCTATTAGAGGCATACAACACCACATCCTACTAATTTTTGTATTTTTAGTAGAGATGGGGTTTCGCTATGTTAGCCAGGCTGGTGTCAAACTCTTGACCTCAGGTGATCTGCCTGCCTAGCCCTCCCAAAATGCTGGGATTGCAGGCATGAGGCACCATGCCCGGCCTTTTTTTCCATTTTTAATAGACTTTATTTATGTGCTTTTATAACATAATGAAAAAAAAAATGTGCTCATTGTAAAAACAACAATACTGCGAAATGTTTCTAAATAACAAAGTAAAAATCTAGAAAATCATCATTAGAAATAAATGCAGTTAGAAACTTGATACAGATCCCTCCAGCCCCTTTTCTATATGTATTACATATTTAAAATAAAGCAGTTATATACGTCTGTTTATAACCTGCTTTTTATACTTAGCAATAATATAAGAACATTCTTCTATGTTAACAAATGTTTCTGATTCATTATTTTAATTTTCTCAGAATATAAAAATTCTGTGTGCTCTATTGTATGGTGAAATGCAACTCATTTAAGTAGTCTCCTCTTCTCGGACAAAGAATATGTATTTTGTTTTTTAAAACTAAATTCCTAAAAATAGAGTTTCAGGGTCAAAGTGTAGAGACATTTAAATTTATATATACTTTGCAAGATGGCCTTGGAGAAAGTGTAAGTGGTATCAATCTCCTAAATCCTTGCTAATCAGGTAAGTGGACAATTGGACCTTATTAATGTCAAATGCCTTTAAATAATATCCTAAATTTAAGTGTTTGTTAAGGTGTATATTTTTGATGTCACCAATATTAATAAAAAATATAACAACATTTTCTATTTTCAAGCTAAATAATCCACTCTATTCAGAAAACCAATAACCTGAAAGAAAAAACTACGAGATGTGAATCAGTCTAGATTCTCTGAAATGGAAACCTTTAAAATTAAGGCTATGCTATCACTCTCACTTGGGTCTCTTTCTCTCTCTCTTTCTGTACAATTCTCTTTAGTTTTCTTGGTGAATTTCCATGCCAGCTTTTTACATGTGATTCTATCCCTGAGGATACATATTTAGCTTTTATATTTTTCCCTCTGTACTTCACCTACTCCTGGGTCATCAAACCACCCACCTCTCTGTCTAACCTAGATCTTGGCAGGTCCTCCTTCCCTGTGCATGGCTATTTCCCTTAGCTTACAAGAATCTTTATCCAAAGATACTACCTCCTCTGTGAAGCCTCACCTGACTTTGCAGCATTGCTGAAGCTCTCTCCTCAGGCCTCACCCTGCATGGCCGAGTCTTCGCACCTGCTCCATCGCAGTGGATGAATATATGTGAGTGTCTATGAGTGTGCAATTGGTTAGCCCTGTACCTTCTTCTTATGAGCAAAGCTCATTCTCCCATATCTGTTTTCTTGAGTAACAGCACCAAATCTGGCATAAAGTAAGTGATCAGTACTGGTTTTTATAAAGTAAGTGATCAGTACTGGTTTTTTAAAAGAATTCATAAATGAAACTACAAACTATTTACTATCCCCTATTCCCCAAATTAGGAAAAACTAAAATCAAACAAATTAAAAACAAAGGAGAGAAAAGCTTTCTGGGTGAAAATACTTTAAAGGACTGTATTGTTTACTAACTTAATACATTTCCTTAATTAAAGTGCCTAATTTCCAGTAAAGAACATAAATGAAGAACATATTTTCAGAGAGAAGAGGAAAAACAAAATGTTCTGATCATAGTATTCCATGGCTAATGCCAAGGGGAAAAAAGCATTTTTCTTTCTTTGTTTCCCCCTCATGTCTTGAAAACATCACTCAAAGAAATAGTTGTTCATTCTGAGTCATGCGTTTGCTTATCTGTCCAGCAGGGCCAGGATAATAAATCACTCCACCCTTAGGGAACAAAAAAATGTTTAATGGATTTGAGCAGTTACCAAGGAAAAAAATATAAAAAGTTTCAGGATTCAATTCATTTTCAAATACTGCACAGTACTTAAGAAAAGGCAGAATGAAGACTGTATAGGTGATCCAGAAGAAAGGGAAGAAAATCAGAGAAATGACATTTCCATTGGAGAAAAAAAAAACTCTCCATTTTTCAAACACCCTGTGAAAAGAACATTTCTATCCCCATTCCTGTAAATAAGTCTTAAATATTCCCTCAGCCCATATGCCATGCCATTCCCAGCATCCTCTGGCTACATCTTTTCCACTACGGGTGGTGAAGGCTGTGTTGCTTCTGCAGTCCACAGCTACCTGGGCTATCACTTCCCAGGCCTTCTTTGGTGTAGAAGCAGTGGACAGCAGGGCCAAACATCCACTGCTCTGCTCTCGGGCACAGGGTGGAAGGACAGTGATGAACTTGAGAATGCAGCACACTAGGGGAATTTGGGACAAGGACACACAAACACACTTCTGACAAGATTTTAAGTCTACATCTCACAATTCTAAACTCACAATGCCCAGGGAATGCACTAGATGTTGCTTCGAAGGCTGCGTCTGAATGCACGGAGTGTTTCTTTTACATGCTGCATTATAAAATAAAGCCCAAAGGAAAATAATTAAGATGAAGCTGTTGAATAATTACAGTTTCTTACCTGGAAGAACTATTTTACTGAATATTCATCAGACAGTACTCACATTGTAATATTTCTTAGGTGTCAGAAAGTAAGTTGTCTGTGGAACTTACAAAACCAGCCCATAGAAGCTTTCATCCCAAATGAGTGTAAAATATTTTTCCTTTCCCTACTCCGCATTTGCTCTGTAGTCTTTAGAAAAATATGTAACATTTCTGCCTCCCAGGTAGTTTGTCAGGGTATCCTTGCTTTTGTATCTGCTTCATCCTAAGAAATGGGGAGAATACTGGATCCCAAAATAATCTAATTTGTAAAAGAGGTTATAAGCAAGATACAAGTTTTATATAGTATAGCTAGGAAACATATGTGAAGCTCCTAGAATTGTGTCTGGCACATATTAGTTATTTAACAAGTGTTATTTACAGCCCCCTTCTCCACCAGAGAACATTAATTATACATTTTTTGGTGTGTGTTCATTGAACCCAAAATAAGAATAAAATTGATTTTTTCTATAATCATAGTATCATTCTTCCCTTCATTTTTGCCTTTTTGTAATGTATTTTCTGTGCACATAGTCCTATAAAGCACTCAACATTATAGAAATAAGGTATTGATACTTGTTCATGAATCTGGAGATTAGCAACCTGATACAGACCAGCAGATTTTGAAATGATGTTAGAAATTCTGTCACCTCTGAGCAAGAACTTCCGACGGAAGTCTCAGAATGACCATACTTGGTAGGGCTTGGGTGTAGCCGTGCTGCAGTTGTGCCTCAGCTGGTCTGAAATCCAAGCATATAACAACATTTCTGCTTCTTTTACAAGATTTCCTGGAGTTTGCACTCCCTTCATGATCTTGGCAGAGATTTTGCCGCTAAAATAACATAACCAAAACGGTGTGCTGCTGAAATGCCAGAAAACTGCTAGTGTGGGCAAAACCTGCGAGTGACAGTCCCCACCTCCTACCCGGCCAGCCTCTTCTCCTCACAGGTCCTTAAAGTTTTCTTGGAAAGAGTGTTATTCTTTTCCCTCTAAAATAAAAATAGAATTTCCAGTTCTAGAATTCGCTGATTCTTTCTCACTTTCCATCTCTTAGTAGGCTCTATAAATGACCTGGTTCAAAAATGAACTAAAAATCCTTACTGAATGTCTCACACAAATTAAAAACCCTGAAGCAACCTTCATGTCGTCAATGAAAAAATAAAGTGTCCCCATTTCTCATGTTAACCAAGTGCTGGTATTCTTTAAAACCCACAACCAAAAGATTATCCTGCCTATTTCACAAACATCAACTTAAGAATAGGAAATTGGTTTTTATTTACTTTTACTATAATCAGTCAGCATTTAAATACCTAACTCACACTTAGCAAATTCAAGATTTAGCAGGAATATATTCTTTCCAAAGACATTTAATTCATTCTTTCACCAATAGATATGTATTAAGTGCCTTCCATATGCCAGGCGCTGTTCTTATGCTAGAGATAAGGCCATGGAAATGACAATCCTTGCTTCAGAAAGTGTCCATCCTAGTGAGACCAGTCAGTAAATGCATGTGTATGTAACATGCTAGATGGTGCATGATAAGATCAAGAATAAAGTGGAGGAGGAGGTGCACAGAAAGTGGTGGAGTAATAGTTACTATTCCATATGGTGTCAGGGAAGCCTCCATACTAAGACTGATACATGAGCAGCAGATATCTGGGAAGAGGGCATCCCAAGGCAGGATCTTGCAGCAGAAACTTCATGTACTCATGGAAAGCCAGGAGGGGCCAGGTTGCTCACAGAAAGCAGGTAGTTATGTCTAAATGTACAGAACCTGTTAGGTCATGATGGCAACTTTGAATGAATTTCTGAGTGAGCTGCAAAGCCATTAGAGAGCTTGAAGAAGAGTGAAATGTTGTGGCTTATATTTTAAAAAATCATCCTGATTGTTGTGCAGTGAATAGGTCCTAGAGAAATAAGGGAAGAATAAAAAAGAAGCACTAAGAGGAGCTTCTTAGGGAAGTGTTAATAGCAATGGAGCGGATGAGAAGTGGTCAGATTCAGAATGTGTTTCAGTTTATTTCCCATCCCACCAGATGTGAAACGTGAAAAAAAAGCAAGAAACCAAGCATGATTCCAAGGATCCTGGTCTAAGCAAGTGACAGAAGAGAGTTGCCATTTACCAAGCAGTGAAGTAGTTTAGGGTTGGGAGGAGGAGAATCAAGAGTGCAGGTTTGAATGTATTTCATTTGAATTTCCTATTGGAGATCAATGTTGGCATGTCAAATAGGCAGTTGAATACATGAGAATGACACTTAGGTGTCCAGGCTGGAATAGCAAATCAAATACCATCCGTAACTATAGCATGTATTATAACCCAACTGTGCTGGTCACCTACTGCTGCAATAGTAAATCAAACACCATCTGTAACTATAGCATGTATTATAATTCAACTGTGCTGGTCACCTACTGCTGCAATAATGCTGCATAACAAACCACCCCAAAACTAGGTGGCCTATAACAACAGGCAGTTCTTTTTCCGGCTTATCGGTCTCTGGATTGGCTTTGATGACTACTTCACGCTGCAGTGTGGTGGACTTGACTCTAAGTCTTGGGCCAGGTCTAGTTCTTCTCCATGTGTCACGTTCTGGGATGTACCCTCAAGGGGCAGACAGCTGAAGCACGCCCTTCTACAGTGATCACACAAACTGCAGACAGACACAAGAAATACACAATGCCTCTGAGGCTTTGTCGCAAAGCCTGGAACACTGGCAAATCTGTCCATAATCTACTGGCCAGTGTAAGTCATTTGGTGAAGCCCAACATCAATGAGGTAGGGTAACACTTGACATTTAGTGGTAGCAAGTACAAACTCACATGGCAAAGGACATGGGTCCATCCTTTGAATACAGGGAGGGCCTGAAGAATTGGAATAGTACGATCTACCTTTCCATACACATTGTAGTCTTAGTTACAGCTACAGTTCATAATAAAAGATTTTTATTCAGATTCTCTAAACTTTGACCCAATGAGTTCCTTCAAATGTCTATTTTTGAAAGCCATTTTACAAATGTATGTGAGGTAATTATGCTTGGATGTATTTCATGAGCAGGAAAAAATAGCTTGATATTTTCTAACATCATGATACACATCATACTTTAAATGCCATTTAAAAAAAAACTGTCTCTATCAGTGCTTATCAGACTATCTTTGGAGAAGCACTATTTTTTTATTTCAATAAGACACAGACCTAGAATTTTGTAAAGTACAATAACATTAACTGCCAAGACTGAAAATTTGTAAATATATATATGTATACAAAATTAAAGCCCAGGTTTTCAGGAAAGTACTTGGTCACATTGCTATCAATATTTCTAAACACTTACTCTTGATTTGTTCTGTATCTGTCTGGCCAATGATAGTTTATGAAATGGCACTGGTCCCTGGACACTTGGAGAAGCACTGTCCTAGGTGTTTCCAGCATAACCACACCCTTTACCCCAACCCTTAGTATCACTGAATAATAATCTGAACACAAAACTAACTTGCTAAGGATTTCAAACTGAGTTTGACTTATAGCCAAGTTTACTCAACTATTCAATTTGCCAGGCTTTTTTTAGTCCCCAGTATATCATGGCTCCATTATTATACAAAATGAAAGAAAAGTCTGTGTTAAATAGCCATATCCTGCTTATGATTTTTACTGTTTTTCTTGATTCTTACGGCAATGCCTTTTAAAATTTTCGTCCATGCTCTACACACACAAATTAATACAATCTCCCGGCCACATCCTGAGGCTACCTTAATTGACTGTTGTCAAGCTGTGCTTTTTAAATGTTCCAGCATTTGATCTTTTTAAAATGCTCTGAGACTTAACTGATGTCAAACTGGCTGGTCTAATTTCCTGCTATGTCTTTAGATCCTTCTTTAAAGATAATTGGGTATTGAATTAAGACTTTTTTTCCCCTTTCTTTCTCAAGGGATTAGTACTAAATTTAGGTAAGTTCTGACCAAAAAAAAAAAAAAATCTTGTCCTATTAAGGTCCTATACTTGGACTTGCTGTCTCTTATGTCACCAGCTACACTGGAGTCCAGAATGAATTAAGCCATGTTTACTCAGCCCCAGTGGACGGACACTTTTTAGGCCTAGATGTATTCGGATGACCCAGATACTGAATTTGTGAATGGGATGTGAAAAACATTGTCTGGATAGAAAAGCAGCAACCAGAAGTCCTTTAGGTGGTAAAAGAGGAAGATCAGACCCCAGTGTGTAGTGCTCCCCTCCCTGTGTCCATGTGTTCTCATTGTTCAACACCCGCCTATGAGTGAGAACATGCAGTGTTTGATTTTCTGCTCTTGGGTCAGTTTGCTGAGAATGATGTTTTCCAGGTTCATCCATGTCCCTACAAAGGACACGAACTCATCATTTTTGATAGCTGCATAATATTCCATGGTGTATATGTACCACATTTTCCCTGTCCAGTCTATCATCGATGGGCATTTGGGTCTGTTGGTGGGAAATGGGGGAGGGATGGAGGGGTTGGGGAGGTCGGGAGAGATAGCATGGGGAGAAATGTCAAATATAGGTGAAGGGGAAGAAGGCAGCAAATCACACTGCCATGTGCGTACCTATGCAACAATCTTGCATGTTCTTCACATGTACCCCAAAACCT